TTGACACGGTTCGATGCTTCCAAGACTTTTCTTTGGAATGTTGAAAACCGCAGGTCTCCAGCTCTTTCTGATCTCGAGTTATTGCAAAAATACTGGAGTCCACTATTTTTTTGAACAGACAGTAGTTCTAATGTTCTTAACAAAAAGAATTTCTATATAGAGTATGCTCGTCTCATGGGATGGGTTAGAAAATTTTTCGCTCCATGGGATTGTAATAAATCTTCGTTTCAAGGACAATAGAGAAGATATCAAGCAAGCACAGTGAAGTAAGAGGATGAGTCTCCCGTAGTTTGGTCACTGATATCGAAGATTTTTTCGCTGCCTCTGAAGAAAGGCACTCACTTTTGGCATATAAATTTGAATGAGAAACACCAGTAGAATAAAGAAACTCTTGATACTTACTTATGATCCATCGTGTAATGTAGAGAGTCAGGCAACTGTTTGTTCTGATCATTTTGATCTTTTACAGCGATATCCGAGGGTTGGCATGGGAACTGACACATGCCAAAGAGATTTTAGGTGGAGATAGTTATGAATATCTGTTTATAGGAGCTTATCAATTGCCCCATTGAAACCATCTGGAAGTCGAGTGCAATGAAAAAACTTCATCTCCACCCGCTGATATTTGGAGTCCTACTAGGTTCATGGTGTAATTCTTACGCAACGGAACCGCTTTCTGTGAAGAAGCGTTACGCACCCAGCCGATCGCTCTTCGCCAATCCTGAACGAGGATGGATTGTACATCGCTTTCTCAACGATATGTGGGGACTAGATGAACTTCGTGATAGCAAAGAAAACGTGTCACTGATCCTTATCAAAATAGATATTTCCGCAGACAGAAATAGCGAGCATATTGGGCAAGGAAAGCTCATGGAAATAAAATCGGGTCTCGAAAAATGTCGCACGCATGGATTAAAAGCAATCCTACGTTCGGCCTACGGCTGGACTAACACATCGTTTCCAGACCCAAAAAATATTCAAACCATCGTGACTCATGTGCTGGACATGAAACCAATCTATAACGCATTCAAAGACATTATTATTGCTGTCGAGATGGGTATGTTTGGCCCATGGGGTGAAATGCATTCGTCAACACACAGCACGATCAATGATAAACCAGATTACCCAATTAAAGCCAGTGCACTTAAAAGCGTTCATAAGGCCTACATGTCTGCACTACCACGAACGCGCTCGGTCCTACTTCGTCGACCAGCTTATGTGCGGCAGATTTTCGACAGTGACCAGCCTCTGATGTCTTCAGACGCTTACAAAAATACAGCAAAAGCACGTACAGGTTATTTCAACGATGGCTACCTTAACAGCGAAGATGATGCTGGAACCTTCAATAAAACTTGGGGAAGAGAGCGCGAACTTACATATGTCAATCAAATGACTCGTTATACCTTTTTTGGAGGTGAAACATATGGTACTCCGAATGGTAACTATAACAACGCCCATAATGCCTTGTTGGAATCCAAACAACAACATATGACATATCTTCATCGGGATTACGACCCACTTATCTATTTTGCTTGGGGTAGTTCAATCAAAGATGATTTTACACGTCAACTTGGCTATCGATTTCAGTTAGAAAGCCTTTCTTATTCGCAACAAGTAGCTCCCGGTGGCATATTCACTTTCCATCTGAAAATGTGGAACGTTGGCTTTGCTGCTATGCACCTGCACAGACCTGTCAGTCTGATCCTTGATAATGCCAAGACGGGAAGAGAAAACATCAATTATTCAGCTTCTCTTCAGGTTGATCCTCGGAATTGGACTCCCGAGGCTGGTCTCATAAGCATTGACCGTAAGTTTCGAATACCAGCTCGTATCAAGGAGGGCACCTGGCGACTTCTACTGGCTCTACCTGATGATAATCCACAGTTGAAAAATGATTCTCGGTATGCAGTACGGTTCGCCAACGAAGATGTCTGGACTGCTGATGGCAAAAATCTTTTAATCAAAGACATCCTCATTACTGCTTCTGCCCCGGGCGCTCGCAAAAAAGAAAACACTTTCAAAGTCATCGGAACCCTGCAATAGCGTGAAAATTGATCTTAGCGAAAAAGATGTAGCATTTCGTACTCACCAAGCTCTCCCTTCCGCTTCATTATCTGCTCCACTTCTATCTCTATTCTCTGCCTGATCTCTATCTTCGCTCTCATAATCTTTAACTATGTGTGTGTAAAAGCCATTGACCACCGAGGTTGCTTAGTAGAGTCCTGATTCATGCGGAAGGATACATTGAAATTAAAATAAACACACATGAGGAAAAAAGAGCTGGATGATTTAAAGCAAAGTCTTGAGGGAAAATACTTAGCAAAAATAAATAGATTGGAAACAGATTATTAAGAATTAGGTAAGGCGCCGCTAATTCAAAAGAATTGCAAGTTCTTATTTTTCACTTAAAACTATATCATTCGATGCAAAATTTCACGGTGATTACGAATATCACCTTTTGAATTGATTTTGATCCAGTTTTGG